GCCACAAAATGCCACTAATAATCATTGTATAAGGCTTAAAATCTGCAGATGGCTGTTTATTGAATTTCGGCACTTGGACACTGTTCAGTGACTTAGCGGCTGTTTTGAAGTTTATAACTTCTAACGCATTCAAAATCTTACTTATCCACCTTCCACTTTCGATTTTTCTACTGTTCCACCTCTTCATTGTGAAGCTATACTGCTTGTCAGTTTTTTTCATTAATAAATGTCCATACATCCTGTGCACTTGCTGAGTTGCCGTCTCACCTTTTACTCTCCCTCCTTTCCCTTGCAGATTCTCGTGGTCACCAAACACACTGCTCTACGCCCCATCCTGCAAAAACGTACCTATCTAAAGGCAAGACGGAAACTTATCAACAGCTGAAACGAATTAGTATACTTACTCATCCACTTTCGGTTTCCTACAACCGCACCTCTTCGTTGTGAAACGCTACCGTCTGTCGATTTTCTTTTATTATTGAATGTAAGTACTTCCTGTGTACTTGCTCAGTCTTCGGCTTACGTTTTATCTTCTTCCTCGAGAAATGGGAAAGTTCTTTTCCCATTTAGGTCCCCGTGGTCCCCACCAAACTCACGCCTCTACTCGACCCACTACAACAACGTATCTATCTACGGGCTAGACGAAGAGCTGTCAACAGTTAGTGGTTACATTCTAGTGTTAAAGTTGGGATCCGACCAGCTGACTGCTAGATCGACTTGTTGTTCGTGTTATAGAATTAGTGGACGATGATCACTTGGGTTCAATGTGTCTTATTGGAATGCGTTTTTAGTATGGAATGGTCACAGTTGTCTTCCTGGTTCCAAAAAACTTGAAAGAACAGACGAATTGTTATTAATTGATTTTCTGTATATAGGTGGCGTTTTTCCTTCTGACCTGTAGATAACAAAGTTCCTCACGTACACCCCATCGGTTTCACAAAGCTAAATGTGCAACTTGCCTATTTTGAAAGTATCTGAGGAGAGGCTGCAGCTACCGCAGGGAGGGAGTTCCACTGTGTACGTGCCGTAACTGCAAACCAGTTATCACGGATCTTTGTACATGGTCTTTCATGCTCCACTCTTAACGGATAACCCCCAAGGTGGCATTTCTGATTAAAGCTTAGGGAAGTGTGTTAGGGTGAAGGGGGTTGTGGCCAAATAGATACATCATAATCATATCCCCTCCGATCCCCCTGCATTGCAGCTTAGAAAACAGCTAAGCCATCCAGGTAAGGTTTGTACTGTCACCCAATCACTTTTTTGCAGCTCTTCTCTGAACCCGTTCTAGGATGGTAATATCCTTCTTCAAGCCTGGGGACATCACGAGTGAGTTCTTTCCAAGATGAGGATGAATATAAAGTCCATTCACCGTGTTAAAAGGGTCATAGTTAGACTCCTTGAAGTTCATGAAAGAAATCCCAGTACTCAGGCCTTCTTGGCTACAAGATGACTAAGCCTAAGCTCCAAGTGTGTCACTTAAAGTAGCCCAAATCTTTTTTAATGTGTGAGCGACATATATTTTTTTCACCCGGGGAATAAGAACTGAAACTATTTCTGCATTTGTCAACAGTAATTATCCCACACTTCGCGTTGGGTGGGAGTAGGTTTTCAGTATTCCAATTTAGGATTTTGGAAGGGTCCCCCTGGAGGACCGAAATATCCATTGGCAGCTGTATTTCTCTCCAAATCTTCAGATCATCAGTATGTAATAGTGAGTGAAAATTGAGGGGTTCCTAGTATGTCGCTGATAGAAGTAATAAACAGTAGTGGACTGAAAATTGAGACGTGAGACACGTCACTCAGCATCGAGAACTTATTAGATACAGATGATTCAACTCTAACTGATCGCAACCTAATATAAACGTGATCTTTGAGCCAACTCAGTAACTGTGCGTATATCAACAAACTGAAGTTTCTTACACAGGATGTCATGATTTACCCCGGTCAAATGCCTTAGAAAAGTCCAGTAAACCAATTTGAATGAGCTTTTTCCGCTCAACAGGGAGTTCTGCTATCCTAAGCTATCAACAAGTTGGCGTTAAATTATCATCCAGGTAAAAACCCGTGTTGATGGTCATATAAGGTTGAGTTTTTAAATGAGTACTCACGAACTGAGTCGTTTATTACCCTGTGCATAACCTTCGCAACTGCAGAGATCAGGGAGATCGGTCTATATTTAGAGTTAATTAGTTTGTTCTCACTTTTATGTACTGGGATGATACCCACCTGGTTCAGTGAGAGGGTTACATACCTTCCAGAAACGGATACCATAAGTGGCTTGCTAGTTGAGCACTCAGAACATCGACACTTTAAGTACTCTTGAGTGAATGCCATCAATTCATGAAGACCGCTCACAACCCATCTGTCAAGCAAAGCCGCAGACTGTTTTTTGACAAACCACGCAAACATCCTCTGAAACTCATTAGGTAGAAGGGAGAAACTGAACCAAAACACAGTAAATATTCAGAATTGAACAAAATTTTTCAGACCCCTTAAAACACCAATCTTTTTTTTTCAAACCCCTCCTAATTTACGCCGATATGCATTCAATAGCAGCCACCCCGTCGAATGTAACTCACACCAGCTTCACACACTATACCTAGCCTCTAGCTTACCCAGGAGAGCGTTTTTTCCAGCAGTGGGGTAGTTGGGGGAGTGGTGTAACTCATTTGAAATCTTACTACACTTCTGATTTCTCGAATTCTGCATCTCTGTTGGCATGCGCTGCAGTTCGTCTACTGTCTTTTATTACTAAACGAAATGTACTTGCTGAGTTGTCGGATCACGTCTTCCTCTTCATCCTTTTTCTTTTAGATTCTCTTAGTCACTTCTAAACTCACACGCATCTGCAACAACGTATCTAACTACAAGCTAAACAATAAACTATCAACGACTGGTCGTTGCAAAGGCAGGTAATGAGGGACGAACGAAGAAAGGTTAGAGAACCTGAAGGTTAGTGTATGCACAGAGTTTTAAACTGGGTATGATTTTGTCCCGTTTAACTTTTTACGCTTAAAGTTTGGGACCAAAGACTTGCATTTTTGGTCAGTGGTGCCAAGGCAAGGGCCCATGGACTCATGTCCGAACGGCAACAGTTTGTGGAGACTGTAAAATGCATGAGTGACAAAGGTATTTGCTCACAATTCACGCCTTCCCAATCTAGGGACCATAAGTCTAGGTGGCTGCCACACAATAGTGTGTTTGAATTTGTGCTTACCGACGAGTAGTCCATAAATTAGACTCATGGCTTGATAGTAAAATATTTTTGGGAAATTTAGGCTGTCGCTATTATTATAGCTGTGAACAGGGATATCCCTGTCCTACGGAGTTCCCTATAGACGTCTGAGTGAACACAAAACCACGTGCATGCAAAAATGGCTAGACTCACGAGCACTTATTGACTAGTAAACTGAAATTGAGGGTTTCTGTTCAGTCTCACTATTTGTTTCTCGCGTAAAAATTGCTCAAAACCCATCAAAGTTTTGTATAGATCAAGATTTGTATTTCTCATTTAACGTAGAAAGTGTGTCGTACGTCGAGAAACACGGCCTAATGCATTGTTCACAGTTTACTTGCTTCATTGCTTCGCTGAAATGAGTGCTGATCAGAAGCTCTGTACCTTCACGTTTACTAGGCTACGAGTCACACCTATAGTTTGAGGCCTATTGGTGTTGCCTGAATATCTAGGTCTCGACAAGCAGAGTAGAACTCGAACCAGTGATCCACAGATTATAAGTCGTGTTGAAAAGTAGTGAGGTCCACATTGATTTCGTTAATACCTATACGACCTTGTCAGAGTCCTATTATTTGTGGCAGTGAGTTAGTGGCAGCTACTTCATGTCAGAAATGTGTACTAAAGATATCATTGTCAAGAATTAATTTACTATTACTGGTCCTAGACTACTCTTTCACTCTCATGGTCCAGAAAAAACAGGTAACCAGAAGCTTGTTTACTAGATCGCTGTATTGTTGTATGAACGAACAGTATTGCACACACACACACATGCTGCACTTTCAGTACCTCTTATTGACCAGTAAGTATTCCAAACACCTCATGAACTAGAAGTGGGGTGAAAATACCGGTACTAGAAACCAGGATGTTCTACGCTTACCGACGAATTTGTTTTCCCCTACAGTTGTTTTAATCTTGAAAATATGCTGTGATTAGCAACAACTTATGTCTAAGCATCTCTTTGTCAAACTAGAGTGCTTGGAGCATTTTACGTCATCGGCTGTGTGAGCTAACAACTTAACTGATTTTTCTAATTTCCTCACGTTGTCCTGTTCCTATATGCTCATTCACTTTATAGGTGTAGTCAAATTTGTTCATTACAACTGTTGAGTTACCTATATCCGATTTAGCAATTACTATATTGCTATCATTTTGAAGGTTCCTGAGATTTTAGCTTTCTGGTTTGGGCAAATCGGATTTCATTTCCTTTCGTTTCAGTGTTAGGGCACACTGTGCTCTTACCTCATCTACAGTTGTCTTATCTATTGAACTTAACGGTATTTCTACTTTGGGAATAACATCTGGTTTCAACTCACTAGCCGCCATATTGAAGTTAAGACCTTTCTCTAGCATTTTTACTTCTGTTGAGCTTAGGACTAGTTGAGAGATTGACAACCCACTTTAACATATCATTGGTGATATTCTATTGGTAATTTCACTATTGTTGACTGCATGCTTTTCTTCCATAAGTTCGTTGAATTTCTTAATGAGTATTTTTGGATTTCTCGAATGCGGCTGATCTTGCTTTATTGAAATTGTCCATCAGAAGCTCAATCTTTTTCAATAACTGTTTGTACCAGCTTACACAACTTAGCTTAGCTGTTGTCGAATAACTTTTGTTCCGACAGCCGTTTAATGATATAATTCAGTGTTGTATGCTCGTTACTTACATGTCTCTTCAATGTTCTCACTGACTGTTGATGGGTTACCGAGATGAAGTCTGCAAAAAATGCATGTAAGCCGTGTCTTCACCTTAACCATTATATCACATTTTGCTATCGGCTTTCAATCCTGTCTTTACTTAAGAGCTTTCTAAAGTCTATTGTTATTTTCGTTTCCTTGACTTTCGTCTTGGTGTCAGACTCAGAAGTGGCGTCGGTTCACAAAGTCTCTAATTGTTAATCTGAACTATGTGGAGAAATGTGGACTTTCAAGCTGGGATCTGGGGGGCAACCTAATTCAGTGGTCGGAGACTTTGGGTAGTGGTGCCCAGAACTGACTTCAGAAGCGCCTTAAGATGCATAATCTTTATTTTTATCATCATATACACACATTATCTTCATCTTAACGACGCTATATCGAATCTCACCATTTTGTCGTTCTTCCTTTCTTTCTCGTACTTTATATTTATTTTGACTGCATTCTCTTATCTTCATTCTTCACCTCACTACCTTTCTACTTGATCTACTGTACTGAGCTGTGGCAACTCGGACCATTACGTAGTAATGCCTGGTCCTTTGTTGATATTGATAATGATGATTTTAATTTTTTCGTTCATCTTATAAACCTTTTCTTATGACTTTCTGTTATTCATAAATACTTTCTATCTTATTTCGCTATCCTTCATTTTGGTGCTTTCTAATTTGATGCACTGATGTAAGGTGTCCCAACTTGGGTCGTCACAGAGTATCACAAGATCCTGTACTGTTATTCACCTTTTGTAATATATACCGGTCTGTATCATCTATTACCCGAGTCTTCATTGTTAAGCGACATCAGTAAGTGGTCAACTACAATACTGTTTTGTTTTCACATCGAACCCCCATCTGGTTGCCGTGAAAGACTAAAAAATTGTCTAGATTCATCGTCGTCTAGGTTTTTTCAGTTTTTTGTTTCACTGAACGGTACAAAATGCTGAAATTCTAGCAGTGATATTTCTCGTTCGAGATCTGAGAGTCTGAACTGGTAATCATACGAAGTGTTACATTGCTCTTATCGGGTTAGTGAGTAATAGCCCACATTCCTGCACCTTTTGTTTTGACAAGGTAAATGGGTCCAATTCCCTTAGTATTTTGCCTAAAAAAGCTAATCAAAAGTAATAGATAGGTCAAACTAGATGAATCAATATTGATAATGCACTCTATGTGCATCTGTCTCACTTAAATCATAGGTTTGGACTGTTGCACACTTCAGTTATCGTATTCTATATATGGCGGTTGCTGCGGGCAAACGGAATGACTTGTACTTGATGAGAATTATTGTGATGAAGTCCTCTGCATAGATGTAACTGTAGAGATTCTTGAAGATAGTCTTCATATCAATCGATCTAGTACTAATCAGTGGACTATCCCTCTTAGCTTTTTATTTTAATGCGGTTACTCCTTATGCTTGGAAGTAGGTAGTAGGGCTTTTTTGAGAGAGACTGTGAACTTATGGCCGTACGAGGTTATTTCGAAAGGGAAGGTGGATTTATCCAAACTTGACCGTACCGACATATTTCGGAGTAACTTTGTTTTTGCATAAACCTGACTTCTAAAGGGTTCATTTTTGTATAATTTGTTATATTATCTTCTCAGGATCTGAGAGACGTGATAGCAAACGTTCTTCATCTGTTCGGGATCTAAATTTAGTTCGCCTCGCGAGGAATGGTGATTTGGACTCAATGAAACAAATGATAAAGGATGGAGCTGATGTGAATGAACAAGATGAATGTGGTAAGTTAAAATACTGGGAATAAAACGTAAGATGTATTGCTCCTTGGTAAGATTTCTCTTTGCAGTGTATGATCACTATCGTCATTTACCTTGTTAGGTTGTCTAGTGTGAAATGTCACAGATATAGACTGGATATGATCAGAGTTGAAAGTAAGCTGACATGTTTCTTTTTTCCGAAGCAATTTGTACATTAAGATAGTTCACATCCCATGTATTCCAAGCTCGAATCGAAAAAAATCGAAATCCACTCAGCGACCTTGCGCAAATTCGTGCACACCTATTGTGTGAAGTTTAATGATACCACCTAGTTGCCGAAATCTCGGTAGGTTCGGCGGTGTTCGAACCCGAGACCCACCGATTGAAAGTCAACTGCCTAAACCAGTGGTCCACGGTTCCACCATCTATGGTTTACACGTATCATGATGTTGGATCGGCTCATTCGGATTATATTCTATCCGGTGTTATATTCTTATTCGAAAGTAAAGCAAAATAATTTTATTAGGTGTTTTTATCTCACCAATGATGATGGTGATTAGTTCTAATATAGCGAGCCTTTCTCTTTTGAATATGGATACATGTTTACATTTTTATCGACTGAAAGATTTTTTCATGTGCATATTTTCACTAACTTCTTTAGGTTGGACAGCGTTACATGAAGCATGTATGCGAAACCTTCCACGCATGACTGAATATTTGTTACGACATGGAGCTGATCCTGGTATGGTGAATGCGAAGGGTGATACAGCACTTCACTGTGCTGCGCGGATAGGATGTTTGCGTATTGTTCGAGCTCTCTTGTACTATAATGCCAACCCTCTACTACTGAACCACAAGGGTGATAAGCCTTTGGATTTATGTCAAGACGCTGAGGTGTCGAATTTTCTTAACCAAGTAGGTTTTGAATAAAGTCTCTAAATATTAAACAATCTAGTGTTATTGCTTGTATGACACCGTCGTTGATTAGACCGAATTGATCAGTCTCTGTTGGCCTATGGGCTCCTGTGCGGATGCCTCGATATTGCCTGTGTTTTAATTATGTATAGTAATGATGGGCAGTGGCTAGCAGTGGAATCCAGGATGCGCACTTCGTCCTATTTGGGACTCGTCAGCTGGATATACCTGCCTCCTGGTGGGAACGACATCACTCAGTAGGAGGCAGGTAAATCCAGCTGACGAGTCCCAAATAGGACGAAGTGCGCATCCTGGATTCCACTGCTAGCCGCTGCCCGTCATTACTATTAAACAATCTGGGTAGTGGTTGTTTCATATAATGGTGTGTAATGTATGTCAGAAGTTTATGCATATTATTTTAGTCGAGAATGATATTTGGACTTTTGCAAAATTCATGGTCTAGCAGTTCCATACTGTTCAGTTCTCCTGCTCTTGTGTTTGGAAGTTCGTCTTTCAAAGCCCATTTTGAAGCTTTAACCTGGGCATTTAGACAGTATAGTAAGCCATCACAGTAAGTCTAGTCCATAACGTGACATATAAACAGCTGTATTGGGTTGAGTAGCATTAAATTAGTTAAGAAATCTAACTGGATAGCGACGTTTATCGGTGTATGGGAAATAGTACTTTTGTCAAGAGTCTGTAAAACACTCTTATTGCTAACCTTACTGAGAGCCTTACTGTTTCCTCTGGATGGCAAGTTGTTTCATGCTGTTGTCTTTCAATTGTCGGAAGAAGGGTTTTGACGAAATTTAACCCTGGAAATAGTCAGTTGTAACCTGTGGCTTATTGAGGTTACCCCAAATTCAATTGCCACTGTGATACAAGAGGACTCAAATGGATGAGTATATGACTTGCGTCAGTCGGATATTTTGTTACGGTGTTTAGACTTTAAGCAAAGATCCTGTTCAGGGTCACTTGTGTTATGAACTGAGACTATAAATTACTAATCATCGTTAAGTAACTCTGGTTCTGAAGTCGATGTCTATCAGTGCAAGTCGTGATTTATTCTGAACTTCAAGCGAACCTATGGTTTTTTGGAGATATAGACGCTAACCTCTCAGCATGGTATTTTTTTCATCAGATGTTTGACTCTCATATGAGGCGAAAACGACCTGTATTCTCATCCATCGAAATATGTTAATATTGTTAGTATGTTCACTACTTAGTAGTTATATTAATTCTGTTCTGTTGTAGTAGAGTGAGCATCATGAAACTTAAAATTTCATATTGCGATAACTGATTAAATCTTTTATTGAGATTAGTTTTCATCGAAGTATCACACTGTTTATGTAATTGATTTTAGCATATTGAAACTAACCAAATACACATGGTTTCATCATCTGGCTCCGGGAAACCAGCTGTTTTGAAGGTTACTCGCCAACATTCAACAACCTCACGTAGTGGAAAACATTTGACTTCTACTTCTGGCACAACTGTGTCTGACGCTATTGAATATCATGGTGGGGGGAAAGATAACAATAGCATGACTAGTGTGTCAGATGTTTATTCAGACTCAGATGGTAATGATGATAATGGTGACGATGATTGTCATTCAACTTCAACTTTGAGTATGAGCACCAGTTTAGCCCACCAGAATATCATTAGTCCTGCTAGTAACAACCAATCCGATATGAATAACTTGTCCTCCAGTGGTCAGCATAGTCATCAAACGTCCAGTCCATCATTGTCATCTGTACCGAAATGCATACCTGATATGTATATTTCTTCAACGAAATCCTGTAAGTTATTGTGTACAGTTTTTGTTTTGTCGTCCTTGTGATGGATTCTTTGTTATTAACTTTAGAGTACTGATGTGTCATAAGTGGAACGAATTAACTATGATTTGCTATACTGTGGGACGTGAGCTACAATAATTGATTTAGAGGTGGAAAATTATTGTCTATTATTATTAGTAGTAGTAGTATTACTATTATATTACTAGTCCCTTGGGTTCCTAATGGAACATAGGGCTTCAGTAGCTCGTCTCCAGTGAACTCTATTCTCTGAAATCTTAGGAACCTGGCTCCACGACAGCCCACGAGCCCTCATTTCCTCCTCGTACGATCTCCTCCATGTCACCCTCGGACGTCCAACTCGTCGCTTCCCATCGGGGTTCCACTCGACGGCTTGGCCTGAGGCGTGATGTCCCCAGTCGGCCTTCTCAATGTATGCCCAATCCATCTCCACTTCCTCCTGCATATTTGTTGGGTGATAGGTTCTTGGTTGGTTCGTTCCCAGAATTCACTGTTGCTTATTCTTTCTGGCCATCTGATCTTCAGTGGCGAGCGCAAGCAGTTGTTGATGAATGTCTGTAGTTTATTGGAAATCCCTTTCGTAACGCGCCAAGTCTCTGAACCATGCAGAAGCACTGACTTGACTCACTTAGTGTTGAAAATCCGCATCTTGTTCCACATGCTGGGTGCAGAAGATCTCCAAACTGGTTTGAGGCTAATGAACGCCTGTCTTGCTTTTCCGATTCTGGCTTTGACATCCTCGTCTGTGCCGCCTGTAGTTGAAACAGTGCTACCTAGATAGGTGAAGGAGGCCACTTCCTTTAAGTTTCTCCCGTTGATGGTGATTGGAGTTTGTTGTTGTTGTTGGAGTTGTTGGTGTGGTATCTTCATCACCTCTGTCTTCTCCGTATTCACTTGAAGTCGCGTCTTCGCTGCCCTGCCTCTTCTGCCAACTTGTTAGTTTTCACCTGTAGATCTTCAAGTTTGTGTGACATCAGACACAAGTCATAGTTAGCGAAATCCAGATCTTCTAGGTTCTTTTCCGCAGTCCAGCCAGCGTATCCCCCTCTTATCGCTCCCCACTGTTTGCTGCATGATCCAGTCGACCACAATCAGGAATATCATGGGGGATAGTAGGCAACCTTGTTTCACTCCTGTCTTCACTTCAAACGCATCACTGAGCTTCCCATTGTGAATTACTTGGCATGTGGCGTCTTCATATAGTTGTTGAATGAGGCGGATAAATGTTTGTGGTATTCCGTAGTATTGAAGCAGTTTCCAAATTACTTCTCGGTCGACGCTGTCGAAGGCCTCAAAATCGATAAAGTTAAGGTGTGGAGTTGTCTGCCATTCTATACTCTGTTCTATGATGATGCGAAGTGTTGCAATTTGGTCCGCACATGATTTGTATTTCCTGGAGCCATCCGGCTAGCCTGTTCGGGTGGCAGTTTTGAATCCAGCGCATGTTTCAGTCTCTCCTGGCTGATGTGGCCTAATATTTTGCTTGGGGTAGACAGGAGCGTGATTCCGCGCCAGTTCTTGCAAACACTGAGATATCCCTTCTTTGGGGGTTTGACAAGGTAACCCTTCTTCCAATCGCCAGGTACCTTCTCTTCCTTCCACACCCTCTGCAATAGTGGTGTGAGCATGTCTGCTGTTGTCTCTGCGTCTATTTTCAGTGCTTCTGGTGGGATCCCATCTGGTCCTGCTGCTTTCCCGCATTTCAGTAGCTTTATGGCGTTCACGACTTCCATTTTCGTTGGGGGATTTATGTTCACTTGTAGTTCAGCGGCTGCAGGTGGTATTTCTGGACGAAGTGCAGGTGGTGGTCGATTCAAGAGCTTCTTGAAGTGGTCGGCCCATTGTTTCCTTTGTTTCTCTTCTTTTGTAATTAAATTTCCTTCTTCATCTTTTATTGGTTTCATCTGTGTTGATCTCCTCCCAGATAGCAACCTGGTTATTTGATACAATGTTGTCAGGTCTCTCCTACCTGCAGCCTGTTCTGCTTCACTTGCCAGTGTTTCGTAGAAGTGTCTTTTGTCTTTCCGTGCACTCCTCTTCACTTCTTTGTCCAGTGTAGTGTTTTGTACGTTGTACTCAGGTCATCTTTCCGTTGTGCAACCCTGCACTGGTTTATCTTCTGCTTCACCATCCTCCTCTCCTCCATCAGCTTCCATGTGTCCATCGAGATCCATTCCTTATCTTGTTTCTTCTTCCTTCCTAATACGGCTGTGCAGGTTTCTTTCCGTATCTCCTTCAAAGACTTCCAGTGTTCTTCCATACGGGTATCTTCTTGGATGTTGCTCGATGTCTCCCATTTTGTCTTGATGGCTGCGGTGAAGATTTCCTTTGTAGTTTCGTTCTTCAGTTTCTGTTCTGGGTGTTGTGCTTGAACTGTGGTCTATCACCAGCTTCCTTGAAGGCTTTTAACTTGATTTGGAAGGTAGGTTCCTTGCACTAGACAGTGATTGGTGTGAACCTACATCTGCTCCTCTTCTTGACCTTGTGTTCAGTAGACTGCGTCTCCATTTTCTTGAGATTGAGATGAAGTGGATCTGATTTTTAGTGTGTCCTGGTATCTGGTGAAATGCATGTCACTTTGTGGATATCATTGTGCTTGAACACTGCCTCCAATCACCAAATTGTTGAATGCACAGAATTCTGCAAACAATTCTCCATTCTCGTTCATCACCTCACTGAGCGCTTCTCGACCGATGGTCAGTTCTCTTCCTGTGTTGTCTGCTCCCAGTTTGGCGTTCATGCCGCCCCACCCATTAGAATTTTGATATCGCCAACTAAGGTCTTGTCCAGTGTTGGTTGAAGTTGACTGTAGAATTCCTCCTTTTTCTCTTGCTCTGCATTATTCGTGGGTGCATAGTGTAGCATTGTATGATTGTGGCCTTCCTTCCTGTTGAGTTGAACCTTGCCGCCATGATCCTGGAGGAGATTGGTTCCCACCGCATGGGGGCCTTCGATGGTGTTGGGGATATCATGATAGCCACTCCATAACTCAGTGTGCTCGCGGTTGTCGTCTGGGTGACAATATCGGAGTAGATTATTGATTCTCCAGTTGACAGTTCGGAGAGTCCACTTCCATTCCATCTGCTTTCGCGAATCCCAAGCACTTGAATGTGATACCTCTTCATCTCGTTTTCAACCTGGGCTGCGTTGCTGGGTTCAAACATGGTGCGGACATTCCATGTCCCCACGTTTACTTTCGCTTTCATCGATAGAAGAGAAGACACATCGGCCGATTGGCTTCCCGAAGGCTTTCACCAACTGGCATCATTATGCCTCTCCGATCCCAACGAGGAATAATTTTGTTGTTATTTTTTACATTTCGTTTGTGCTTTGAAGTTTCTTTAGTGGTTAGATTTGTTTCACGGGGTGGTGTTGCTAGCCCTATGCGCAACCTTCCCTGTTTACCCGGGCTTGGGACTGGCTAGTAACTAGTGTACTAGTTAACCAGAGGAGGTTGAATATTATATTCTGGTTTTTCGAATTTAATTAGCCAGAAAATGGTTTCAACATGCAAAAGTTTTAAAGCTCATCAGATAAATAGGCTCTAAGGGGTTTAAACCGTCTTGTCCTACTGCTGTGGAAGCCCGTTGCCTGGATAGGTGGATGAGTAAAATTGGATCACCTGATCTCTTCGTGTCAAAGCGACATCCTTGTCTTCTGATGACACGTAGAAGATGAGATAGTATGATTTGTGATATCACTGATGTGTTTCGTCAAATGAAACTGTCAATTAGTTGCAGCTAATACCTGTTCTTCACTCTGGAGAGTGTATAGTTAAACATGTATTCCTTTATTGTATGTATATGAAAATAGTACTAAACCCACGTGTGCTTGTCAAACTTGTGTATGTCTGTGTTTGCGAGCGAACCAACAACCAATAGGGATCAGCTACATCTGCATATGTTTCATTCTACTTGTATGTGTCTCAGCATATTAACTAACAGCAGTAAATGAACTTCGTCTTTGTCTATCCATTGTGTATGTATACACAAACACACGAGTGCACTTGCGCGCAGTTTCTTCACAATTAATAATCAGAATAGATATTGTCTCTGTGTTTGTGTGTGTGTGTGTATTCACGTTGCTTATCGACGTGTTTATGTATATATTTAGATTGGCCACTGAAGCAGTGAAAGTAGCATCTGGAATAGTAGTGTGTGTGTTTTTGACATTTCAAGAACATACTAGGCGTTAGGTTAAAGCATTATGAAGCTGTTTTCAACTATTGTGGTGATATACCCATACGACTATACATCATATAAACACACACTTAGCACACAAACAACTATGACGGTGAATAAATAGGTCAGCATAGTTTTCAGAATCAGTTTGGCAGAAGTAATTTACAGTCTTGCTTGTCTTGTGAAAGCACACATACACTCTACTATTATCACTTGCGTGAAACTGTTTTCTAATCGTTGCAACATCAAAATTTGGAATTATTTAGTTTGGAACCATTACTATTCTCTTTTGATTACTGTTAACCTCAGAAATATTGTTCCTGTTGACCAGGTGTGATTATCATCGGGGTGAATAGGTGGCCTTGTGTGTGTGTGTGTTGCACAAATAATATTTGCAAGCATTACATTCTCACATGCTTTTGATCATTATTTTATCCCGTGATATTTCTGTGTTTTCTTGTGTGTGTGCTTGCATAGCAGTGAAGAAAGATCCTTATGCATTTGAGGATGATGAGAGTGATGGGACGGTGAACAATCCTGGAAATTCGTTATTACTGCATCCATCACCTACGAACAATACACTAACCGGACATACTGGAATTCATTCTAGTTGCGGGGGTGGTGGTGGTGTTGGTACAGCCAGTTTAACAAAGACAAATACTAGTCCGAGCAGTGGTCTGCTGTCGAAGCACACACATCAGTTGTCCTCTTCAAATTTGCCTATTGTGGAGTCTGTGAATATCATTTCAGATAGTAATCAAAGTCATAGTACGACTGGGCACATAGGCAGTGGCAGCAGCAATAACAACAGTATTGGTTTGGGTGGACCTCCACTTCGGCTTCGTTTTGCAAAAGAAGCTGGACAGTATACTTGATGAACAGCAGCAGCAACTACAAGCTGATTTGTCACTAACGAACAGTGATACGAATCCTGTTCCGTCGAGTGGAATCACTTGTTCAGCAACTGAAACACCCCATGTCACTGTTGTCGGTGATAACGCCAACGTGAATAATAATTATAATAACGATAATAATCAGAACACCGTTTGTTATGTGGAAAGCACCAATGATGGTTGTAATGTGGGTAATGAGCATGATCGAAGTTTGGATATGTTAGTGACAACGAAAAGTGAACACTGGACTGGAGAGGAAGCGGAGCATGTGAGTTCCACTGTTTGTGCGGGTTATGATTGCTACTCTTATCATCAGTTTTGCTATAAATAGTAGTTGCAGTGTTATTTTTTAATTTCATATGAATGATTAATTATAATACGAGTAGCTGTTCAGAGGGCGCTTTGAGCTTGTCGAATTCAAACTTGCAGCAGTTCACGAAATGATCGACAGTTATTTATGTTTTATTAATATAAGTGCAAAACTTGGGCACTGTGGTCGAGTGTAATTCCATTTTAGTCTGTTTATTAGAAATATCACACAGTGAAACAGTAGCATTTACTGGATAACGTTTCGGACATAATTTATTGTCCGTATTCATATCAGGTAACTCCACAACTTCGAGACAGTCTTTATATATTCCTAGTTTTCTCTTCTTCTCTGTATTGACAAGGGTAGTAGAATTTTCCATGTAATATCTGGGACAGGTGCAGCATCATTTCGATTGCATATGTTTGGTGTTGATTCGATAAACAAAGATTCGGTTATCAATCTCTCCCTCCATTCAACGAAGTTAGTTTTCAACACTGTCACTCTATCCCACCCTACTGTGTGATTGTGTGTCATCGCATGCAGAGCAATAGCCGAGTTTTTCTCTAGATTTCTTATCTTATTAGGATCTACTGATCTTGATTTAGCTAAGTTTTTGTGCTCTGTCTGTTATTCTAATCGACCCTGGTCGACTGCTTTGACTTATGTACTTGACCTCGCAATCATTGCAAGGAATCTGGTAAACCAGATTATTTTGCTTAATTGCATCGATAGGATCTTTAAACCTACAAAGCTTGTTTCTTAATCTTAATAGTACCATACACGAGAAGGAAATCTAGAGACTAGTGTCTATAGGAAACCTACCCATTCGAATCGCTACTTTGACTTTGAATTCTCCCACCCCATTTCAGTTAAAGTAGGCCTAGTTAAATGCGTAAGTGATAGAGCGGAAAAGCTTACT